AGTGAAGAGACAAAAAAGAAAAACAGAAATGATCTTAGGTATAACAAGAATACTTAATCCATCAGAGAGAAGAACTGAACTTAAACTCATTCATGGTACTCCATATGTAAACAAATACACCTTTAATTGTTTGTTAAAGCAACTTAATGTCCAAAATTAAAAAGTTAGGTAATAAATTCCACGCCATCATTGCTTCGTAGTGAAACATTCTTTTTATTGCATCTGTTCTGCATGGAGGTAGCCGGAGCCTACCCTCTGATGCCTGTCTAGTACCATACTGACGTCCCTTAGAAAAATAAAGTTAACATATCGAAGAGTACTTCTGGGACTGTTTATGGATATAGATCTCTATTGATCTCCCTGCCTGTAGGTCTCCATCCTACCAGGTTTGTCAGGGTTGGGCAAAAGAAACTGTATCACATTTTCAGGTCTTATAATTGCAAATCCAAATCTATTAGTTCAGTAACCCTTACAACCTTCATGATACCTTTTCTATGCCATAAGGTGACAAACAGAGACCAATGATACATTGTTGGTACGTGATTAATGGGTTTTATGTCCCATGGCTCCAACCTTCCTCCATTCTTCATAAGATTGTCCAACATCACAGGTAAATGCCCCCCCTTAAGCTGCAGTGCATGGAAAATACCTCTCCATGATCCTGTCTTTACTGTGGCTCCTGATGGATGAATGAATGTGGAGGAGCCTGTGGACACCCAGGGGCCTGTGGGGGTCGTCAGTCAGCTGCCCGACTCCCACCAAAAGGGGATGACAACTGCAGGAGAGTCAGCGGCAGCAGCAGAAACAGCAGCAGCAGCAACAGCAGATAAAACAGAGATGTTGGAGGGGGGGTCATGGAGGCAGAGGGGCTGTCAGCTGAATCAGCCGCCCAGTTGAGGATGTTTAATATAAGAGTCAGGCATTATGAATTAAAAGAACTATCTGACTTTTTGTTTATGGTCTTGAGTTTGTAGGCCTTATAGATATTTTAAAAAAAAATTACAGTCAAAACAAACATTAGTCAGTAACAGGTTGTCACAGGCCACACTGCTGTTTCTCCATGAGTCACAGTCCACTGTATGATGACACACAATTCACTGAGAGCTGGATTACTTTCTAACATTCGTTGCTCTCGTCATTATCCTCATTTCCCTGCATATGCTCAGTCAGCTCTGTGGGTTCAGAGAAAACAATGAGCTTCTGTTTGTAGCACCAGTGAGTAACTGCAGTCATGATCCCCCTCACCACCAACATGTGTCAAACTCTGCTCCACATGTAGTGTCTGTATGAACAAAGCTGCCCTCAGGCCATCATCTCCATACATTTATCTTCTCTTCTTTTTATCATAAAATATAAAGAAACACAACCAAGTGCATCTACCCAGCTATTTGGCCCATGAATGAGAAACCTATGTACATTCACATGTAAAGTGTAGAGTCAGTACTTTGCATTTCATGCAAAAAACCATTCACATGAAATGCTTTCAAAATGCGACCTATTTAGCTTGTGTGATAAACTTCTACATGCTTAAACAGTGTCCTCTGATAGAAATCCCACCCTGCCGGTTTTTGACAGTCAAATCTATCAACTCTTGGGAATACTTCACAATGAAATTTTATAGACAGTGATGGTTTTTGCTGCTTCGCTGACACCTACCCCCTGGTACTAGTTTCAGGCATTAAAATACAATTTATAAATCATCAACCATGTCACTTATGGTCTTCTTTGCTTTTTTGCAACATATAAAGTTGTATACATTTTAGTCTACTCTAAGGATGTCATAAATCTCCTCATTAGAGCTCTAAGAATAAAGCAGCCAAATTCAAAAGATATCGACCTTTTTACTTGTAGCAATTCATCTTAAAGTTCCAGTGAGGAGTTATTAGCTGGTTGTAAAACAGACTGAAATTCATACAGATAGGGTGACTATATGCCCTCTTTTACCCAGACATGTACTCTTTTTTGGGGACTGTCCCGCATAGTAGTGTCCTCTTTTTGGGGATTCGGAATATGGCCACCCTAAGACAGATGCATTTTCTTTACTGGTTAATGCAAACCAGAATTTTAGAGATTACTTGATTAATTCATGAAGCTGTTTAATGTTTGAAATCGCTGCCATCAGGTGGATGACAGACAACTTACATTTAACATTTGCATTTCTTAGTTTAATTGTAAAATAAAGCAGAATTACTTTTTTCATGTAAACATACTTATCCAAGCACAGGAGAAGATTGGCAAAGAGAGAAGTAGTCTTACCTCCACAAGGGTTAAATTCCCTAAAAATGAAAGTTTCTCACCGTAGCTTTAAATAACTGTACAAATAATTTCAGGGTAAAATAATTTAGAGAAGTTCCAAAAAAATAATTCCTGGTTTCAATGATGATTTATTGTTCTTATGAAGATGTCTCACATGGAAAGTGTGACACTCTGGAGTGACCTGACCCTCAGGTCAGCACAAGGACTGACCAGTTTCAGTGAAATGCTGTATTCACACTGATACATAAGTATAATTTTGTGGTGTTTTTGGCTTTTTTTTTTAATTAAAGCTCCCATGAGGAGTTTCTTCCACATTTATGAAAGACTAAAATTCACAGATGTTTTTTCATGATACCTAAAAGCAGCGAAGACCATTCAAGACAAGATCCATGTTTTCTACACCCTGTTTTTTGATGTCTGAAACTGCTGTGATGGGGTAGGTGTCAGCTGAGCAGCTGCAGAAACAGCTCAGTTTTTACAATTTCCATATTAAATATTCACAATAAATAATGAATTTGACTGTCAAAAGTCAGCAGTATGAGATTCTGTTTCAGAGGACACTGTTAAAGCATGTAAAGGACAAGAGAGCTTAGTATTGCTCTGTCCACCAGGGGTGTCAAAATTTAAACACAAACCAAAAGTTTCTCACAGGAGCTTTAAACTTTAGTGGCAAGTTTTTGAAAAAATAAAGAAACTTTAATTTTTGTAATTGAGCAAATTTAGCTGATGAGACTGCTTTATTTTTACACATAAAACTTACCAGTACTTTAATTTGATGGCGTTTTTTTTCATATAATGGTCTTTGTTGTTTCTTCTTAGCAATGCATCTGAGTTTTTTGAGACTTTAAAACGGACTGAGCGGTCTGTATCAACTGTAGACACACATATGTTTTATGGTATATCTTTGGGAATGACTCCATTGAACCCCTCACCCAGCCAGCACCTCCTCTCGCCCTCTCCATCCCCCTCATGGGTGGTAACAGCTGTGGTGTCACCCCAAGTCACATGACATGGGCAGGTGGGAGAAACCTATGTGGGACATCCATCCCCCCCTTTCTTGCCTCCTATTCTCTCTCTGAATGTCAAACCTCACACACATGGATGCACACACACACAGACATACACACACACACACACACACAGAGACATATATTACACATGTAGCCCAGTCTATTGGAGGGTGCGGTCATTTTGCATGGCTGGAATGTGCTTTGTGTTTGTAACTCAAACTGTACGTCTGATCTCTCACATTGGTGACATTCCACAGACAGAAAAAATCTCCCTCGATAGAGCTGCTACTACTCGCTGTCATGTGAGCTACTCGAGAGCATCAATTCATCTGTAATACTCCCATGATCTCAGGCTTTCCCTTTCTGTAAAGCTGTGACTGTTTGGTCAAAACTCAATAACGAAAAAGACTGTTTACTTTTAAAGGTAAAAAAATTCTGACGTTTTGAGAATTTTTAATTTTTTACATGTAACTGAAATAATGTTTCTACTGTTAGTATTCAAAGTTAATTTTTTTATGACTGAAGTTTTTATTTCAAATTTGTTTTTACAACATAAAAAACCACCCCAACCATAAACAAACAAAGAGTGGTGGGCACAAAAAAAATTAAATAGTGTCCATTTAATGTCTATGTGCTCACTTGTAAACCGCCACCACATCATCCTACATACATACCTATCCTACCCATCCATACCTTTCAAGAAATCCTAAAAAGTATGGACAATTCATTGAAAAAAAGGTTGGCACAGACCACAAAACTAACAATGGAGAGGTATAAAGGTAATAATAACAATAACATTGAAAAAATAACAATGATAATAATAAAATGTAAAATAATAAATACTGGAGCTGAGCCTGTCACAGCCTGTGTAATGAGTGAAATTGCAGAAATTTTCCCCATTTATTATTATAATTCTTTACCTTATTCATCAGACTGTAAGATATTTTCTCAAATGTTGCTACTTTACCCATTACTGAGACCCATTCATGAAATAACGGGCCTACCATATAGTTTCAGTTTGCCACAGAAGAACTTTTCAAACGATAAAAAAGGACTTTTAAGGTAATAAAAATGATTGATTCTTGATTAAGAGCTGCAGGGAACAGATTTACAGTGAAATAATACATTGTTCAATTCGAATCCTACCTGTAGACTAAATTACTGGCATGTCCTTATTCTTAACCTGCTCCCCTCTTATTCATGGGAGTTTAAATAACTTAAATGTAAACTGCTGAAAGCAATGGTCTTCATTCTCAAGAGCTATTGCTTCCATATTGACTTATTTCTCATTGTGCTTCTTAACAAAAGTAGTTGTAACACCCTGACCTTTGCCATTATACTGAATAAAACGGTTTTGTCCTCATTACTTATAATATAGCATAAACTTTACTAGTTAGTTTTGTTTTTTTCCCCAAAATATGACATGTACTTCAAGTTCACAAAATCCACAAAAGGATCAATTGTACCCAGTTTCACCTGTTAATACGTGTAAAATAAACAGTAAATGAGCACGTAAACCAGATAAGAATGAATGAAATTGGCTGAATGCAGCTCAAAAATAACAGGTTCCTGCACTTAGGTTACAATTGGGCTATTTGTGGTCACCACAGAGTCAAGTCTTTAAACTGGTGTAAGCTAAAATTAAAGTTTAACCACACAAAATAAACAAAAGTCTATCCATTTTTTGTAAATAAGATGATAACAGTGGAGTGTTTCCAATCGACGCCACCTTGTTAGAGGAACAAAATCAACGTCGGATCAGTTTCTGGGGACTGTATTTGGGAGCGGACCAAATGGTGTGATATGTCATTCAACGAATATTTGCACACAAACCTTGAAATAACGTATAAAATAGTGAATCATTAAAGTTACGAAATCAGTAACGACAAGTGTTTGTAGACACGGATCGAGGTCGTGATATCGTAAATCAAAAATGACAACATGGCGGCGCTTTCTTCTTCAAACTGATCTTTAAATTCGAAAGCCGTCATAACAGAAGTTGGTATGTATGTATTTTTTGTATTATAAATAAATATGGAAGGATTTATTTTAAAGCATTAACAGCACAGTTTACTTGACTGATTAATGAGAAGAAGCTTAATGTTTATAGAAGTAATATTATTTAATCTGCTCGTGTCATGTCAAACGACTTTCTCCCACAGATCAGCTGGTCGTGAGCTGACTGTCCGTTGACTGTCCTCTTACTGTTGTTACTGTCCTGTTCATGTCGTTAGCTGTGTGTAAACTTATTTTTTGTCGTCGTCGTCCTCCAGGAGAAAATGTTGCTCACAGCTCGCCGCCTGTCCAAAGTGCTGCAGCTCACCCTGGCGGTCATTAAACCTGATGCCGTGGCTCATCCCCTGATGTTAGAGGTATGTTGACTGTCTCCATACTCAATACATCCATGACTAAGGGAGTTTAATTAACGCTTTTTGGATGGTGTGGTCATGTACTTTTCGACTTAATGTTGATACTGTAAAGGGGGTTGCTATTTTATGGACCTTAAACAGTCCAGTTTGGTTCTATTTATTTGGGCGACCACTTTTTGTGCACTAAAAAGTCCAACATTGCCTCTCCTTTATTATCATCTTTAAGCTCATGTGAAGAGTTTTTTTTTTTTTTTACCATCTAGGACACAAGCTAAGGCTTCTTGGTGACATTAAAAATGAATAAAACATTGATAAAATGATGATCCGTTTTGTACAGTTATTTCCAGTGATTCTAAGTTTTTCTAGAAGAAACTGAACATTGTTGAACATTGCGATCTACAGGATGGAGAAGAACCCCTTACTCTTGAGGTCTTAATTTTCTTTATTAAATAAAACTATCAAGCAGCTGTTGTTTTACACAGTAGCAAAAAATACAAACAGAATGTCATTAAAGGTGCAATAATTGAAATATTGATCGTCCCCTTAAGACTTTATAGCTGGTGATGAAATCGACTGAAATACTGATGCCGCTCTGTAACCTCCAAAAGCAAATACAACCATCATTATGGAGCACTTCTAATCATATTCATTTATTTTAAATGTTTGAAACTTCTGTCAGATAAAGTTAGGAATTTAGAGTTTCAAAACATTTTTTTTTGTCATTTCCCATGTCAAAGATTCTCAATAAGTGATGCAGTTGACTGAAAGAAGGGGAATTGTGTATTCCTGTTCTTCAAAGAAAAAGGGAAAAAAAATACTACTTCCATATGACTCACTGGCAAATGCCACTGCACTGTCACTTAAATTCAACTGGTAGAGAAGAAGTTGTAATGGCTGACAATGACATTAGGCTTTTCAAGTATGGAGACCTCAGAAGTCATGGAGCTGAAGCATGAAGCTTTCTTCTTCACGCTCTAGCCTTTGAAATGAATCTAAACAGAAATGTGTGTGTTGTCGGTGCCTCTTGAGCCACACAAATATCGACAAAGTTTTTTTTTATTTTAACTGGTAACTGCTGCACACAAATGAAATATAATATCATATTTTTCCTTCAGGCTCTTCACCAGAGAATCCTGGACAATGACTTTGTGATCGTGCGATGCAAAGATCTTGTGTGGAGGCGGCAGGACTCTGAAAAGTTTTATGAGGAACACTCAGGTAAGCATGCAGAAGATAAGATTACAAATCAACGAAAGGGAAAAATAAAACTTGGAGCCCCTGTGGAGTGGGGGGCTATTTGTCATTGTGAGGATAAATTAAGATGATTTCTGATCATAAAACTTCTCCTTGAGTAAGAAGATACAGAGCCGGTGTTAAAATCTAATTCACAAATAAGATTTGCTTTCTTTTAGGACGATTCTTCTACCAAAGACTTGTTGAGTTCATGTCGAGGTAAGCCTCCATACTGACACAGAAGCTGAGAGTTTTGACTAGTGCTTTGACACATTTGTCCAAAAGAGGTTTTGTGTCTTCAATATGTTTTGAAAGATGTGACGAAGAAACTTTCCTACATTACATGACCCAGAAAAGCACACTGAAGTCACTGTGCCCCAGTTTTCTGCTCAGTGGGACACCAAAGAATCCATTTCTGATCCATCACAGCAGGAGAGGAAATAATCACCAAACACCGGCTTTGAAGCGGCTGTCAATGAAGCCTGCTCAACAATAGCTCCACAGGGCCACAGTGGATTTCAAAAGGCGCCTGTAATCATATACTTATTTTTGTCTCCCTGCAGCAGTGAATGAAAAGCTGCTGTGACAGTCAGAGTATTTCAAAGAATCCAATGTGAAGAAATATGTGTAACAACCACACACGTACGTTCATCTGAACTCTCAACGACCGCTAAAACTGCTGTTCCTATGATCCTTTCACACAGCGGTCCCATGCGAGCTTATGTTTTAGCCAGAGAGGACGCCATACGTCACTGGAGGGAGATGATGGGCCCGACCAAAGTGTTCAGAGCCAGATTCACCTCGCCAGCTTCCATCAGAGGGCAGTTTGGACTCACAGACACACGGAACACCACTCATGGATCAGGTGAGGGGTGTGTCAAGCCTTGTGTGTTTCAAAACTCAGCTGCATCTTAAAATTCCTACAGTTAAGAAATTTAGTATTTCTTCTGACTGATGAGAAAAACTGCAGGTTCAAGGTAGGGAAAGAGTGAAAAGAGGGATTTAAGGCCGTGGGTGGAGAATCGCTTGCATCTTTCAACATGTCATCCAAGATTGTGTCTGTTTCTCCATTTTTTTTTTAGATTCCGTCGAGTCAGCACAAAGAGAAATCTGCTTCTTCTTCCCAGACTTCAGCACGGAGGAGTGGATGAAGAAGGAGGAGCCGTTGTTCAGATCAGGACAAATGTGCTACGACCACCAAAAACAGATTCACACACTTTCAACACAGAGCTGACCTCAGAATTGCTGTTACACCCTTTCAGGACTACTTACAGACTCTGCAATTGTTCAGTGATTGCTCCTTAAAATTGCACACCACAAGCAAATAAACAATCCTGCATGTTATTTATGAAACAAACTGTGCAGAGGTCCTGAAAACTGCATGTGTAATTCTTCCTCTTTTATTTGCCGACAGTGTTCCTCTGTGCCAATCCTGTGTTTTCTTTCTTGAACATATCCTGGAAACAGTTTTTATAAAGTCATGTACACCCACTCTTGTTTTGTTGAGTTTAATGTCATTATAAAACACTGATGACCAGATAAGAAAATGTAACACTGTCTAGTACAAAACAACACAATGATGTACACAAACTCCTCACCAGGCCTCACTGTAAATAGTGCAATCTTCAGTCAGTTTCCTGAGCCTTACAGACTGTAGCACTGCACATTAGTGCATCAGTTTGAAACTTGGAAATCATTTCAATAATGTAAAATAACTCTAATATGCCAGCTTCATACACACGTTCAAATTTGGGTCTAAATGATCTTCAGTGGGGATTTGAAATGTGCCAAACCAAAGATTCCTCATTTAATATAAAACATTCTGCTGTGCTCCACCCTGAATTTGTCATTTTTGGTCTGGAACTCCATGTCCTGTAACATGTCACATACTGTATGTACTCAGATCAACAGCTTTACATGTCCATGTCCTTGATGATGTTGATGTACAGTAACAGGCACCATAGACTTACGCTTTATGATATACAATACAGCCTAGTTCAAGTTTTATTTTCAATAAAACGAGCTAACTAAAATGGTACACATCCCTCGTGTCTTTTCAGCTGTCCGACCTCAAAGAGTTTCTCAGTTGTTCACAGTTTTCTGCTTTTTCTTTGGCTTCTCTCAGGTGTTCTGAGAGGTCACCTGTTTGAGGGCCTCCACAGGTTTCATGACTTCATAGGTAGTGAGGGACTTTTTCACCTTCCCATTCTTGTCCACCTGATGGATGCTCTGTGTCACCGTGATGGTCACCTGCTTGGTTGACATTCGATTGTCCTGCCATTTTGTCTGAAGATGAAGGAGAGTTGAGGAGAGAGAGGAGGATGAGAAAGCAGGAAGGTGAAAGCTGAAATGCAAAATTTAAAGGGATATTCTGGCATAAAATTAAGTTATGGTCAAACACACCGTAACACTGAGTTAGACACCCCCTCAAGAGATGAATGTTGTCGACTGCTTGCTTCCCTAGTTACACCTACTTCAGCAGCGACCACATGATAGCAATACACAGCGTTCTACGTCTCCACACGCAAACCTCAACCAAAAGGCCACTCTATAACCACAAATGTTTTTATGTTGCATGGTTCTTGTATTGTCTGGGTTCCTTATGACATGAAAATTGCCTTCGACTCTGTTTTTACTGAGCTTTTTGTTTTTATCTGGCTTTTTCCATGTGCACTATGACATGTCAAAGCACTTTGCAAACTTCTGTTTTTTAAGTGCTATACAGACAAGGTTATTCTTCTTCTTCTTCTTAAATAATGCTCAGAACAGCACCTAACTTCATCAACAGTACATATAGGGTCCCAGCCATAGTACTAGCCACCAAACATCTTTTTAGCTTTGCCTGATTTCTTTAGCAAAGAGACCAAACACAACTCACCCACTCTCCTCCAGCAGCCGCTTGTAAGTGGAGTAGCCCTGCCAAGTCAATCACCGAGTGCAGTGGAGTTTCGCAGCTCAAGGAAGAACAATTATGATCACTACTTCATGTAAATGCAATCAGACCAAGACGCTAAGGCAGAGGAACTACCGCGTCTGCAGTGAAAAATGATTATTATGATGACTATAACTTCAAGGAAATGACCAGTGCACTCAGTGATCGACTCATCAGGGCTCCCCCACAAACCATCGGCTGCTGGAGGAGAGTGGGTGAGTTGTGTTTGACTGGGACCCTATATGTACTGTTGATGAAGTTAGGTGCTGTTCTGAGCATTATTTGTGGCTATAGAGTGGCTTTTTAGATGAGGTCTGCGCATGGAGATGTAGTCTGCTGTGTATTGCTATCGTACGGTCATTACTAAAGTTGGTATAACTAGAGAAGCAAGCAGTCGGCAACATTCATCTCTCAAGGGGGTGTCTAACTTGGTGTTACGGTGTATTTGACCCTAACTTAACTTCACGCTGGAATATCACTTTAAGGGTCTAAAACTACCATTTACAAACCAGTAGATGATGTCATGGTGGCTGTGCCTGCTTCTCAAATACTGTTATGGAAGAAAATGACTCAAAGTGCCTCAAAATCTGATCAGAGTATTTTAGAAAATCTGCTCAATGTTTAAACAGTTTGAGCTTGTCATGTAAATTTGATTAGGGCACAAAATTGTCAAAGATGCAGAACACCAGCAAGAATATGTCACTCCTCATTATTTTAACATGAAACATAGATATCTCAGAAGAGCAGCTTTAGTGTCTTGTAGAGTCTAAAACTTTCTTACGATCTCCTCAGTGTGTAGGACACTTCTGCGCTGGACTGTGGTGCCAGTAGACGGGGGCGTCGCCTCCTTCGGTGGGGAGCCCAGTATTGCAGGGGGACTGCTGGGCTTCACGTCATTCAGACTGGCTTCAGACATGGACGAACACACTTTCAGGTACGCCTGAGCAGGGAGAGGGAGGCTGTCCTCGAAGAAATCTGGAACTGTAACAAAGCACAAGTTTAGTGGCTCTAAAACATCAGACTGAAAAAAGGAACAGTGAGGCCCATTTCCATTTACTACGCTTTCTCTGAGGGGTTTTCTTTAAACATAATCAGCCCTGCCATTATCGCTGTTATCGCTCTATTGGTAAAATGCATACTACAGAGGAGGCTGATTTGTAAATGAAACAGGATTAGTCAGAGGTCAGAGCATGCAGGAGGCTCTCAGGTGCATTACTACCATCAGTGAGCTAATGTGAGAGCAGAGTGGGCTGTGAAGTGTGATGAATAAAATGACACTCTGAATATCACATGGAGGCTGTGTTGGAGTGAGGGTTAAGTGAACAGGATGCTGGTGTATTACAGACAGAGTGAACATGAATGTTTTAAATTAAATTACATTAAAATACAGCAACATTTTACTGTCACAGGACCGCTGTGTGTTTTATTCTTGGCGGTAGCTAACCGCTGATTGATTTTTTTCCGATTCCCGGTCTGTTTTATCTCTACAAGCCTCTTTAAACCTGTCCTTACAATCACATCAAGGTTTGTCCTCGGCCATGGCTGTGTGTGTTGCCATGAGAGACGAGGTCCTGTGTGAGCGCGATGGTTTTTGATGTGGCCTTGATGCGATTATCCCTGTTTGCTGATTCATATCTTCCTGGCTTTAAAGAAAACACACCCACACTTCAACGCAAGAAGAATAAGCTAAAAAGAAAAAACCCCACACCAGATCTGTCTGTATCTGGTAAATTACTGAGCACCCACACATAGAAACATATTTAAAGCCTCAGCACAAGGGCCCTTAGCATGTTTTGCATCTTGTTTTTTTTTTTCAATTTACTGAGAAAAGGGTGTTTTTTTCTTTGTACCAGTTGTACAAAATCTCTTTAAAACACTTCAAGCAAATGTGTTACTTTCCTCTTATTCTCTCGGTGTAAAAAAAGGACCACTTAATGCTGATTCATTCTAATTGCTGAGTGTATGACTCAGTCTAAACGTTTCCTCTTCACTGTGAACAAAAAGCTCAACCAATTATGACTAATATTCTTTTTATGATGTAGCAATTAGAAATAATGAATGTACATTTGGTGCAAAAACCTATCAGTGAAAATAAATTAGGCTTTTAAAATATGCATGCAGCAGAATTACACCCAATTCAGATGCATTAAATACAAAAATCTTGTTTTAAACTGCTCAAATTAGAATTGCAAATCTACTTTGTTTAATCAAGAGCTAATCAATACAACCATAAATGTGAAATTCCTTTTTTTCCAGGTCAGTGAAATATGATTATTTCCTCTTACCAGGGGTGATTGTTTTCTCAGAGGTGAAGCCGGCCTCTGAGCCCTCAGACGGGATGCTCTGGATGGACGACAGTGGGATGTCCGTGTCTGTGCTGGTGAGCCATGTAGACTCGGTCTCTTTGGTCCAGCTCTCCAGGTACCGAGGCTCCAGAGCGTCGGTCCTGCTCCCCCCACAGCCCATAGTTCTGCCTCAGGACTCCTCTGCTGGACTCTTCTGAAGACCAACGAGAGAAAAACAAAGACCTGGACTTCATTTATGTCTACCGTCTCTTATTAAACTTGGACTGAAGGATCTACGTGGACCTAGTAACTAATTACCTTGACAGTAAAATGAACAATCAGAACAACTCCAAGGTTACTAATGACCAGGATAAGAATTTTTAACTACATAGAGACTTTAGGTTTAATTATTTAAGATTTCAAGGGAATGTGATGTTACAAGAACCAGTCAAGTTTAGGTTTAGAAATGCTGCTTTATCTGAAATATAAAATTCTTGATTAATCCAATCGTGATGAATCAGTGTGTCTTGTTTTAAAAAGAGGTCAAGAAACTCAAGAGGAACCTAAGATTTTTTTTTTCCAAGAAAAAACATCAGATGTCACTTTGTTCTGTGAGAATATTCAATTTCCCCGACATTGTGTGAAATTTAAAGCTCCTCTACAGAATTGACAGTTTGCAACTCAGGCGTCCCCTGTGGATGACGCCTTGTCGTATATGTCCTTATAAGTGTCCTCTGACAAAAAATAAATCAAACCCTGTTGACTTTGACAATCCAATGTTCCATTTATTGTGGATATTTTTGTGGAAAATAAAGAGTTGTTTCTACAGCTGCTTGGCTGACACCTACCTGCTCTCACTAAGAGGCATTAAAACTTACAATTTAATAGCAGCCGGTCTTGTGTTTTGTTGCTTTTTTTATATTGTATAACAGCATCAGTATAAACTTCAGTCTATATTTTATGAACATCAAGAAACTCCTGTGAGGAACTTGTGGTGCTCCCTTTGGTGCCCTGTGGACAAAGCAGTCTTTACCATTAAAGAATAACTTTTGACATAAAAATCTCATCGTACTGACTTTTGATGGTGCATCACTAACAACTATCCTCTTGCACTGGTTTCAATTCTTCAAAATTAGGACATGAAAATGGTCAGTCTTGCTGCAGATGACCCTCTTTGTCTTTGGATACCATGAAAAGACATCACTATCAATTTCAATATATTTCATAAATGTCAAAAGATTCCTCAAGGAGCTTTAATGGTAAAATAGTAGGCAACTCTCAGAGCACCACTTGGCTATAGGAAATTGAGATCAGCTTTTCCAAGACTTTCTGACCTTCTTTTATTAAAGGTAACAGCTAAGCAGTTTCAGGACAAAAATAATAATAACTTGACTGCTCTGTTTTTCACAGCACCAATAACAACAACACACTTACAGCACAGCACACGTCAGAGGGGTACGCTGAGTGTCCTCATAAGCTCCCTCGCCTATCACTTCTGTCCTTTACTTCATTGATCTGTCTGTGTTCGCTGAATTAGTCTCATTTGTGTCTGTCCATGACCAGCTGAGACAGCATCCTCTGGAGTACAATCAGTCAAAGAGACCATGTAAACACAGGTCATCCAATCCAGCAGTTCATCTGTGAGAATAGAAGGAACAAAAGGGAATGAATGCATGTACTTCAAGTGTTTGTATGAGGCAGTTTAGTCTTATTTTGCAGTTTTTTTTGTTCACCACAATAAAAGCCTCTTTTAACTCAGTAAGTGCTGAGCAACCTGTGTCCTGCTAATTGTCATTTGTGAGCACTGGGAAATAGCTCAGTATAATAATGCCCTGTTGCTGTCCCTACATCTATCTATCTATCTATCTATCTATCTATCTATCTATCTATCTATCTATCTATCTATCTATCTATCTATCTATCTATCTATCTGTCTGTAGCTTTAACTCAGACATATCAGAGCTAATTTCAGGTACTTGGGCCCAAGCTAAATCACAATTTCCTTAAATTTCACACTGTAGCCTATGTCTGAAATGTATCACAGACATCCACAACCAGCCCTACAATTCATTGTCTGGTTGCCTTTTTTTCACTTAAACTCAACGTTAGTGCCTAAACACAGTCATTTTATTGCCCGTGGAATAAATACGCCATTAAAGAGGATACTAAAGTGTCTCCTCCGTGTCTCACACCGCTGTCATCGCTACAGGCCAAGATGAATAAAACAACGGCAGCGTAATAGGCTTTTACAGTAGCGATACATGATGAATGACAATCATTCAGCAGACGCTTATGACATAAAACGAATAAACATCTATTGTAAATGGGGATAAAAGGCTTACTGGCGACGGAGAATCCGTGTTTTGATCTCGTCCCGGCGTTTCCGCGTGCCGTCTGCTGTCTGACAGACCTGTAACATGTTGTCAATAATAAAACTCCCCCGTTCAGTGACAGGCTGCGTGTCCTTCCGCTCCTTCATCCATCCTCATCCTCCTTACGTCCACCTTTATTCAGCATCTTTTCATCGACAGTCGCTTCTATCGGTTGTAGATATGGACAAAAAGTACACACCTATTTGGATATATATATATATATATATATATATATATATATATATATATATATATATATATATATATATTTCCACACATCACAACTGGTCTTCACTTTGTGCTCTGTTATCTATATGTTGTACTAGTATGAATTACACTATACTTTGTCCCATTACCGTTTGTAAAAAACAATGATATTCATTCATGTAAAACACACGGAACATTGTAATTACTCTCTCAATTCGCTTGAACACTCGATGCTTTTTTGTGCCTTTTTGTAAATGCAATAACAGAACAGTTTACGACTTTGTCCACAAGGTGGCAGTCACGGTCCAACACTACAATTGTGAAAATGTACAGTACAACAGAGCAACTTTACTGAAAGAACTGACGACGCACTATGTAGGCTACTAGTGCTCATTGAATTGCGATCAAAATAATTATTTGCCCAATTTGTGGTTGTTTAGTCAAGAGCTAACAATATCTGCAAGTCCATCCAGATCTACAGCAGATTTAGGACAAGATACAGTTGTACAAATCTCTGCATGGTTGCTAACATCTGGTTTCTGTCACATAAATCAAAGATAGTATATCTCCTTTAAACTGCTATGATAGATGGTACTGGTAATAGGATTATGACTGATTTAATATGATTGATTTAGTACAATTCATTCAGGTAAAAAGAAGACATCTAGATTCAATTCAAAACTCTGGTTGGGCACATGTCCCTGATTATTGAGATATGCTTAAAGTTCCTGTAGGAAGCTTGTGATGTGTCAACTCTGGTGCCCCCTATGAAATCAACTGTCCAAAGTGATGTCCTCTGGCAAAAAAAAAAATATATATCTTGCTGGCTTTTGACAATAAAATTAATTATTTACTAATATATTATAATATATACTAATATTTTTGTGGAAATTGTATAAACAGGGCTGTTTCTTTGGTTTCTTGGCTTACACTTACCACCTCCCACTGGTTAAAAACTGCAATATAAACCATCAATGTACCAAATGGTTTTGTTTGCTTTCAGACATCCTAAAAAGCCATCAATATAAATTTCAGTCTATTTTGTATCAGTAAAAAAAGCTAATAGTGCCTGCATGCAACAGTATTTATGCTTTATTGTGTCACTTTAAGTATCATTGATAATTTGCAGTCCTTGCCCTTAGTTAGGCTTTTGGGAAATGAGGCATGTGATACAACGCCGTAAAACAGACAAAAAACTAACAATTACAGCAGACATAAACAAGCAATCACAAACAAAATGACCAAATAAAACATATAACTCAGTATTCACAAATTTGCCTTTATTTGAGCCGTAGTTTCATTTTGGCCTTGAAATAGTTTTACTCTTAAAATCTAGGCTTTAAAGATGCAGAATAATCTTTTTTTCAGCCACATACCATTAGAACAATGTGATATAGTGAGTCAGCATTTGAAACTGAGAGGTTAGTCAGCTTGAGAGGAAGTGGCTTAAACTGAATCCAGCCAAAATCAATTGTATCTTTTCAAGCTTTCCTACTTTGACATGTCAAAGCGTTTCCTGTGAAACTGTCTTTTTTGCATCTTACAATCCTGTAATACTCACTTTGACTTGCAGTAGTGGATTATTTCCACGAGCTGGACTTCATTTATTACTAATGAGACTTCTCACTTGGCAACAACACGCACATTGATCATAAGTCTAATCTCTTGACTTTTGATTTCCACAATAAACTGTAGAAACAATAAACAACTTTTTTCTCTCTGTTCATAAAGCACATTTATGTGTCAGCTGTCGATAAGTCACATTACAAGCAAAAGAACAAACAAGAAATGAAGAAGAATGGGGCTCCTGATTGTGAGATCAATTCAGTAATAGGGAAGCTCAACACTTGTATCTGTCAGTCTGAGAAAGAGATTCAATCGGCAACAGAGTGTGCAGTACATGTGCAGGTCAAACAGTAATGGATCCTTCCTTCTTCATGCACTGAAAACAAAGTAAAAACCGTGTTTTTCAAGTGTGAATTACTCATACTTTGAGCATTAGTGTGCAAACTCTGGCCTTCTGGTTTTATTTGAAAGACAAAGTAGAAACACTGCTCATTTATGTGGACACTCAGTTTGGGGATTATCAAAAACGACTATCTTCTAATTGGAGTCCTGCCCTTTTCAGCCATGATTTCGTGCAGGTCTGGCAGCATCTGAGCTCAATAAAGTCCCTGTGACATCCTGCGCTCATCCCTCGCCTGTTTCCCACATCACCTCGGCAAATGAATCCCGCTTCCTGTGGACAGCCTGGTCAATACGAGGCTGACCGGCTTTGATTTGTATGTCCTGCCCCTCTGTCCTATTGGACTGCTGGTTCAATAGGCCTGTCTTCCCATTAGCCTGGCGATTAATGTGGCGCGCCGCCAAATGCTACACCGAAGTGAATCATGGGTGAGCTCTCAGCGGTTCCAGCTGCAAACATGTCAGTGAATTATCTTGAAAGTGTGCTTTAGATCAGGTTTAATCCATGAAACAGCACTCCTTCAGTCTGCGATACACTTTTACTTTGGTTTAAATGGTGTTGGCTTGTCTGATTTTTAGTGTTTGCTGCAAGTTTAAGTCAGTTTTAGACAAAATGACCATTGAAGGAAGATGATCAACTTATGAACTACCTACTTATAGCTGATCTAAATGTATTTCACAAAGGCTGGGCCACTAATCAAACTGTTATCCTGATTACAATTTCAGCCCCCTACAATCATAAATACATGATAATCAAGGCTGAATCATTATTGTACCGCCTGCTGTGTTGCATCTGCTATGTCCTATACATTTAATGACATGCACCCTCCCTCTCTGTCTTAATAGCAGAGTGTGGGCGTCACCCCTTCCCTCAAACAGCTCTCACTTTCACTTCATTGTAAGCTGCTTGGATCAATGTGGAACAAAGTTTAAGAGCAGGAGGAGTTGCAGCTCCTGCTAAGATTAATAGTGGACCGCTGTATCTTCAGCAGGTTGTGTAACAGAGGAAAAAATTACCAGGTAGCCACAGGTGGAGCAAGGAGAGCATTATAACAAAACACACTTCTGAATCTGTGCGCTATAAAGGACATCATATAAAAGCTAGGTCCTTTTATTTTTGATAACAGTGTAAAAATACTAAGCAACAATTTAGTTTCACCATAATCGAGCAGCCCTGGTTAAGACTGTTGCTTTTGAATGTATGATACTTATAATTTTACACAACTCTTATTTGAGAAATACACATATTTGAACCCATACAGGAGTTTTATCTTATAACTGTTCATTCAATATTGTAGCATCAAGACAACACTGCGTGTGAAACTCACACATTTCTCACAGGAAATGTTCCTTATCTGGTCCCAGGACACAGGATAATAAATCTTTCCAGACTTGTTTGCACTCTCAGGTTACCCAACTGACCCGACTGGAGGTTGACCTAAACCTCTGGCTCTTCACAATTGGTCAATTCAGAAAACAGAGACAGGGTTTTTATTACCTTTCAAACTGACTCCATCACTGACAATCTAAATAATCCTTTAGGCCTTAGCCCAGGTCTCCCGTTTAAGATTTCCTGTCTTAAAGTTTGTGAACACACAGGATCCAAGGAAAGGTCAGAGGAGCAGGACTCTAAACACTATTATAAATTCAAATTGCTCAGTATAAAGCAGCAACCAGCAGCCTATTAGCTTTGCATGTTGAGCAGAAAACAGAGAAACAGCTAGTGATATACTTTCACTGTTCCTCTAATTATTATAATATGGAGGAGGTGAGCTCTATGAACAACACTGCAGCAACACACCTGGGGGAGCTCTGTAAATTTTGGCTTCACTTTTGAGAGACTGTTGTGTCGTTTGTCTTTTTATTCAGTCTATGGCTTTGGAATGTATAGGGCTCCATTTATGAAAAATTACTGATAAATACAGACAGTACTTTATATTTATAGGTGACATATATTGCATATTTTGTCGCTAGTCCATCTCAGCACCATGAGTAGTGTTGTAATAAAGATGGCCATTATTTTTCAATCAGAATTTTTCCATGTGTTAGTATTTGTGTGTGTTCCTGTGTGTTGAGCTGTTCTTGGTTTCCATTTCCTCTCACTGCTTCTTAGTTAGCAGCTGCCTGGGGTTGATAGTGGGAGAAAATTTGCTCTCCATTGATCTGCAAAGTTTCACAGGAGGAGAAAGGACTGTTTTCTGGCAAGTCCTGCATGGAGAATGCATGGATGAGCCAAAGTGCAGCAGCAAAGCGGCCAAATCCAGACTTTGACTGGGGTTTCAGAGAGTTACACAACTGGAAAACTAATTATGATGTCTTGCATAGGGGCAAAGATCATTTGTTTGGCCATCAATTTCTCATCTGCACAGCTGCTTGTTTATTAATGTTTTCCGATTCTGTCTCACTTCTCAGAGGAAAGCTATTTCAGAATATCATCCTTTCGCAAAATGATATTTCCTGGTAGCATTTTGCTTGGAAATGAAGGAAACTCTCTGTAAATGACACCCAGATGTTATCACATTTGCTTGTCCAGATTTCATCGGGAAATTGTCAATATCGAAGCTCACAGCGACACAACAAGCGGCTTATCCAGATTGAAAGTTGCCCGGAGGTTGTGGTTCATCGGCATCAATCACATCTCTCTCTTTTTCTGGCAGAGACTTGCCTCCCTTCCCCTCCTCCCCTCGCCTCAGACTGGCGGTGGCGATCTCCCCCCTCTGTGCAGACTGAGCCAGAGATCTCTCCGGAGGTTGTGTTCTTTCAATCCATCTTGGTGTGAGCAAACATGACACCTTTTCATTAGTGCAAAGTGCTAGTGAGGGGAGACACTAATATTATGGCGGCCTGCAATAAGCAAGAGGTGCAAACACAGAAGTATAATACACAGTGTTTATCGTGCTCTTGCGGGATGCATGAAGATTTTCAGAGTTTTATTCCTACAACCTGCCTGTAATAAACAAATTTGAACAGCTATGGTTTTACATTTCTTTGAAATATTAACAAATCTGCTTGCCACTGTATATTTTATTAATAGGTGCTAAATCTTCAGGATGAAGCAATAAAAG